GGTCGCACCCCCTGGGGCCTGGGGCCCGGGGCCGGCGCAGTCGCGCGGCTGAGCCGGGCGCAACGCCGCGCGCCCCTTGGCGAGGGGAGGTGGAAAGCCCTGGGGCGCCGGGGGACGGGCCGAGGAGCCGCTGGGCAAACGCGGAGCTCCCCCTTCCGCAGGCCGCTCCGCTTTCTACGGTGAGGCGGGCGTTGCCGTCACCAGGGGACAGAGGCAGGGAGGTGCGCAGACAGCCCGGTCTGACCAGGACCGGAGACTTATCCGTCTGTCCGGGGCCCACACTCCCAGGCTGAGGGCCCTCGCAGCCAAGGTGGGGGTCTCCAGCCCCCTCCCCCACCCAGGAGCCCTCCCTCTGCGCCTGCCTTCCGGCGGACCCAGCTGGGGTCTTGTGCGACAACAGATGACCTCAGACACTCGGCTCACCCCCCACCTGTTTCTGGGGAGAATCTGCACAGACCATGCCCTCCCACAGCTCTGGCCTCAGTGGCTGCTGGGGACTTGGAGGAAATTGGGACTCGAGGACCTGGAGGCAGAGTGGGGGACACAGGGGGTCCTCAGCCACACCTGCGCCCCCAGGGTTGAGAGCTCAAACCGAGACAGCCCACCACAAGGATGGGAGCATGACCAGCCTGGCGTCCCCTAGCCCGTACATACCAGATGGCCAGCTGGGCACGACGGCAGTCCCCAGGAGCGGGGCCAGCAGCAGGAGTGCGGTGCCCAGCATGCTGGACCGGCCGAGGTCAGCGTGTTCAGGGCCAGGGCAGAGGCGCCGGGCTGGCTGCACCCAGGCCTGGCAGGTGGGCAGGTGGCCGTGTCCTTGGCTGGGTAGTCACCCGGGAGGCAGGGAGCGGGGGTGGCAGACCCAGGGGCTGACATCAGAGCCGGCACCCAAGGCCTGCTGGGGATTAAGGGCTCCTCTCCTACCCGACCAACCTGTAGCTACTGGGGGTAGGAGGTCCCTCACATTTGCCGCTTGACACTGAGCGAGTCACCACAAACACTTGGCTCCCAGCTCCCACCTTGCCTCAGTTTCCCCTCGATGCAGAGGCCTCATCCACCAGAACAGCCCCCCTCCCTCAGCCACTACCCACCACTCCCTGCCAGGTACCGCCAGGCTCACGACACACCAGGGCTCGGAAGAAAAGGGAGGGGTTTATTCTCAAGCATCTAAGGATTTACAAACGAGGGTGCTTTGTTTTAAAAAGGGACAGGGCAATACTGGTGGCCTGAGAAGAGGTCTGTGGCCGGTGGGCTGGGCCAGACCACCCCAGGCCCCTGCCTGCCCGATCCGCCCTCTGCCTGGTCCAGAGGGATGGCTGGTGAAGGCAGGGAGGTCTTGGGAGAGGCAGGGAGGTCAGAGGCTCCCCAGGGCTCCCACGTAACACTGAAGGGAGGGGGCGGGTGGACACACACTCACAAAACAGGAAATCGAGTTAAATAAAAATAAAACCGGGCAGCCCGGCCTGGGCCTGCGCTGGCCCTGGGACCAGCCGGGTGGCCGTCCCGCTCCCAGCCCCTCGCAGAGGATGAGGGCAAGGCAGCCTTCCCCCCAGGCAGAGAGAAGGCGACTCCTATGACTCTTTACACATGCGGCATTTGTGAATATAATGACAAGAGTCGACGTAAGTCAAGAGGACAGAGTGGCGCCTAAGCCTAGTCGCTTCAGCTGCATCCAGCGAGGTTCCTCACCTTTGGTGTTGCTTGGTTTCTGTCTGTGGTTTTACGGGTTTTTTTCTTCTTTTTTCGTTTAATTTTGTTTCACTTGTCTGCTTGATTTGCATGCATCATCCCACAAAAAGGACACACCCCCTCCTGCTCTGGCCACCGCAGCAGGCTCTTGGGGGCACTGTGGCCGGGCCCCTGGGTGGACACTTGGTCCTTCCTTGACCCAGGCCTCAAGGCGGGCTGGGGGCTGGCCTGTGGGCACGATGGGGACGACCGCCTTGCACTCCCACCCTTGGCCTGGCTCCCACCCCACTGGAGCCTGTCACACGTCCTCAAACCCCCATGTCCACTCCCTTCGCCCTCAGCCCCTGACTCCCTCCGGACACCCTTGCCGGGCCCCACGGTCCCCCTCCTGTCGCCAATTCCCTTTGGCCGCCTGCTCTCCGCCACACCCCGTGCCCCTTCCCTGAAGGCCATCTTGTGTGGCCACGGCCCCTCAGGCCCCCTCCATACCCCCTGAGGTCTTCCACTCACCCCCAAGCTGTGGCCCCCAGCCAGTCTCCAATGCCCATGGGTGGATGGGGCCCCACCAAAAGCAGCTCAACGTGACTTTGGTAAAGTTTCTGAAGGTACCGACAAACCCCATGAGAACAAGCTCTCCTCCACCCCCCACCCCCCAAACACCCCACCAAGTACAATAAAATACAATAAACTCCAAAAAGGACCCCCTGAGATCAAAGAGAGAGAGAGAGAGGGAGAGAGACACAGAGAGAGACACACACACGCCAGCCCCGTCAGCCACAAAGCCTTTCCGGGGGCCACTGACTCATTGCTCCACAGAGACCTAAGTGGACCCGAGGGGTCCTGCCGGGGGTGGCTGGGCCCAGACTTGGGCCAGGAGAGAGGCAGAGGCAAGGAGGTGATGGGAGAGCCAGACAGGGACAGAGGTAGAGGGGGTGACAGAGGGAGACGGAGAAGGAACAGGTTCCTGGGGAGCGGCGGAGAGCCAGCACGCTGGGGGCGTGGGGGTCGGGACTCGGGGGCTCTCTCCCGGGCCCTGGGGGCCGTCCCAGCCCAGAGGTTATGACTGAATAAATAGCGAGTCTGCTCGCGGCCTGCTGTCTTCCGTTCACAGTGTCTGTCGGGGGGACACGTGGCCGGCTGACCCCGGGGCGGGAAGGGCTGGGGCCTGGCGGGCCCGGGGGCGGGTGGGCACCCCACACTTTCTGTCCTCAGCCCTTGGTGGCTGTCCAGGTCCCAGGTCTCCCCTGGCGGGCAGCTGGGCAGCGGGTAGGGAGGGGGCCTGTGGCCGTGCCCCTGGCCCCCTGCGGGGCTGGCCCCGCCTCAAGGCTACCTGAAGAAGGGCAGGTGGTGCTGGCTCTGAACCCCACTCGTCCGCGGCGACTCGGTCTTCGCCATGACATCCTTGAACCAGGACGCCACGTCCACCTCGAGCGTCTCGTAGCGCTTGATGAAGCTGTGTTCCTGCCGGGCGAGGGGGCTGCTTAGGAGGGGTCTTCCCTCCAGGGGACAGGAAGGGGGCGGGCACAGGGAGGGCCGGCCCAAATACTCACAAGTAGCTTATTATACTTTGGTCTCTTCCTGTGATCTTTAGTAAGGCTGGAGGACGAGGAGGGAGAAAAGTGAGGGCTGGGAGGGGACGGCTGCTCCCTTGCTGAGCCCTGCCCTGGACCCAGGGGTCTCCAAAGTCGGGGGGGCAGCGGCTGTGGAAGTTCCCAGGCCCCAGCTCACAGCTGTGACCTGCCCAGCAGCACGTCCCCTGCTGGCCCTGCGTGGCTGGCTTGGGGGGCCAAAACTGGCCAAGGCCCCCAAGAGGTGAGAGGGCCCCCCGGGAGACAGACACGAACCTTCCGCATACACAGCTCTGAGCTCACACCCTCCCGTGGCCACCTTGCCAGATGCCCACAGCTGTCCCCTCAGACCAGGCCCAAGCCCACCTTCGTGGTCCCAGGGCATGGGTTCCAGCTCCCACCTGCAGCCCTGGCCTTGAGCCTGCTCACAGCTGCCCCACCCACCGCAGGGTGTTCCCCGCCGAGCTTCCCTCCTTCCCGACCCGCCCCAGTGGAGGGGAGGTTCTCACCAGTCTTTGACAAAGGACTGGAAGTCCCCCGAGAAACCCATGTGCCCAGGCAGGAGTGGGGGCTCTTCCTGTAGGACTTTGGTGAGGACCTCAAAGTCGGTCTTGCAGTTCTTGTAGGGAAACTGTCCCGTCGCCAGCTCCACCTGGGAGGGAGACCGGCAGGGCTGGACTGGCCGAGATGGGTCCGTGCCCGCCCTCCATGCCCCAGAAGCCCTTGTGCCCAGGCTGAGGACAGGGCAGGCCCCAACTCACCAGCGAGATGCCCAGGCTCCACACGTCAGCCCGGATGTCGTAGTCAGGCTTGGTGGGGTCCGGGGGGTCGATGCGCTCGGGCTGGGGGGAGGAAAGGGGAGGCTGTACCCCGAGGCCGGGACAGCCTTTCCACCCCCACCCCACAGGCTGGGCTCCCGCTCACCGCCATGTAGGCGGCGCAGCCGGCACTCCGCGTCTTGGCCTTGGAGTCCACCAGGCGGCCGCTGATGCCGAAGTCGCAGAGCTTGATCTGGCCCCGCTCGTCCAGCAGGATGTTGGAGGGCTTCACGTCGCGGTGGATGACGCCGTGCTTCTCCTTCAGGTAGTACAGCGCCTTCACGATCTGCAAGGGCATGGAGGGGGCTGTGACACGGAGGACGGGCCTGGGGCCGCCTGCCCGCCACCAGCCCCTGACACGCCACTCACCGCCACCGTCATCTTGCCCAGGATGCGCTCAGGGATGGGGCCTTGCATTCGCTTCTTCAGCTTCTCAGCACAGGTGCCCATGAGCTCCATGGCGATGAAGACGTCCGTCTGCGGGGCACAGTGAGGCTTGGGGGGCCACGCTGAAGTTGGGCGTGGGGGCGGCAACACCGGGGCTTGGGGGAGGACACGTCGCTTGGGGCCGCCTCTGGCTCACCTACCCCGCTCTTTCGGGCTCCGGTCTGAGAAGGGGGAAGGGGGTGGGAGGAGGCGGTGGCGACTCACGTTGGTGATGAAGGTCCCGAAGCACTGCACGATGTAGGGACAGTCGTGGCTCTTGAGCACCACGTCCAGGTCCATGAGGATGCGCTTGTTCTCCTCCTTGTTCCCCGAGCGCCGCATTTGCTGCGGGGCAGAGATGGGGGAGCCTGAGCCCTGGGGCCGGGGTGTGCGGCCCAGCCTGGGGGGCGGGGCCCCGAGGCTCACCTTGACGGCGATGATGTGGCCTGTCTTCCGGAAGCGCATCTTCCACACCTGGCCGCAGGTGCCGCTGCCCATCTCGCCCAGGTTCTCCAGGTCGTTGATTTCTGCCTGGTAGCGCTGGGGGGAGAGCAAAGGCTGGAGGGTCCTGGGGCCCCTGCTGCACCCCGGGGATGGGTCCACCCAGCTGCGCGTCCTCCCGCCCCACGACCAGGTAACAAGGGAAGACTGGTACCTGGCCCCCGATGGTCAGGTAGCCCGTCTGCTTCATGATCTCCTGCAGCTTCTGGTCGATCTCAATGCTGCGGGGACAGGGAATGGGTACCGGTAGGCGGTGCCCTGACCAACCTGAGGCCACCCCAGAAACCCCACCCAATGTGGCCACTTTCCTCCTGGACCCCCACCCCGTTCCCCACCAGCCGGCCATCAGG